ATTATACATACGAAATAAATGCGTTTGTTAGACTAAATATAATTAGATATAGTTGGACTATAAATCATATAATGTGCACATTCTTTTTGGATAGTAAAACCGGTTATTAATAATTAAAAATAATTTCTACCAATCCATGTATACGTCATTTTGTCATATTAAAATAAACGGCAAAACTGTAAACGATTTCTTTCGGAGATCAATTAAACGGCACGAATTATGGTGTGAATGGACTTCCAAGACGGATTCACAATTTTAATTACGCACAATGTAAGTGTGTATAACTATTAAGATTAAAAACATTCGTTTTTATTGCACAAAAATTATTCTAGTCATCATCATACTGCATGAACATAGTAATTGTTTAATTATTACTAGCTTATTAATGTTCGCTTATTATTCGGAAAATCAATTCAACCCATAATTATCAGTAAAACCAAGCTTATTTGTATATATAGTACCTATATAAGAACGTCATAACACATATGCCTATGAGAACAAGTAACATTCAAATCTCTGTAAAAAAAAAAAAAGTGTTTGATATTATAATTATGTCTGACACAGTTTACAAATCAGTATGGAAATATTTAACCATGCCGAGTAATAAAGATCTCACTCTAAACGTGATAATTTAACAAATTTTCTAAGATCCTTAAACATTCCTTTTACTCTTTATTTTATCCAGTATTTAAGTTTACCTTTATAGTTATTTTATTATTCCTAATTATGTTTATTTATATTTAAGTATTGTTGTATTACTGTACTTGTAGCAGCAATAAACAATATTTATTTGAACGCTAACTGAAATCATTTTTGAAGTTTCTTTGTTATATTTTTAATTAGTTCCGATGAAAATATGTACCTATGCATCGTTTGAAATTGTATTTCTTATATTTCAAACGTCGTCCTTAATTAGAAAGAACCAGTGGAATAATATTCGAGTCGGTCGTAGAATAATAATTATTGTATTACAAGCGTTTCATCCCGAAGCTGGCAAAGGGTTAATTCGGCAAATAACCGCAGGGAATAATATTATTATTAACGTCGTTGGTTTTTTCTCGCGCGGGCCAGTGCGCGTTGTACGCCAATTGAATATTTATATTTGATTTCACACACACACACTTTTTAGCTCTATATGTATATATATTGGAATTATAGTTCTCATAATATATGCGTGTACAGAGACGTGTGTAACGCGACGGACTCTGCGCTTTGCACTCTACAGTCGGTTGCAGCGTCAAAACTTAATTGGCCCCTTTGGCGGAGAGGAAAGGCAAGGAAGTGTAGTGTAGGGTATAGGGTAGGGCACGGGCGAATTAGGTCCACGCCGGCCGTTTAAAAATTGTATAAACGCCATTTGCATACAAACGAAACACGCTTGCTGGAAAACGGCAACAGGGGAAGGAGGGGCAGGCCGGATACGTGCAGCGACTCATTTAATTTGCAACCCTCCCCCAACAGTCATGCCGGATTTGTCTCTGTGTTAAATTTCCCTTTTTTTTTTCCCCCCCAGAGTCGACCCCTCCTCCTCTCCAGGAAATAATCTATTTCCCGGGCAAGAGAATAGGGCCGGGTAAACCCTTATATACATTAATTATTATCGACGTTCGCCGCGGGACGATGGTTTTTTTTCCCCTATACGAACAACGTATAGAAAAGCGCACCGACGACGACAAGTAGTGGATATACAAGTATGGTACGGGAATAAGGCGGCGACGGTGAAAACTGTCGGGTTAAGATGCGGTGATTGATGAAGTACTCGGTCTGATCGTGGTGGGCAAGGCCGAGATCCGTGTTTCAAAGAGCCGGCAAAGTAGGGGAGGGTCAAAAAAAAAAAGGAGACCGAAATATATTAAAGCGTCTATATTAAAGATAGGTTCGCGGTATAAGGTCATGGCAGCTGCCGTGTATCTTCAACCGACTCAAAAACAAAATAAAAGGCCTCCAAAATTTATTTTCGGTTAGTCGACCCAATGTTTTTGTATGAAATCAAAAATAGATATGACGAAAATCCTATACAAGAAAGTGCGTCCCAACTACCACCAAGTCTTGTGATCTCTCATTTAATAACCATATAAATCCAATAAACCTAGTAGAACTTTGGTCTTCATCAAAAGAAACTGTCGGATCTTTACTAACATATACAATGTAGGTATAGCCGCTTTGAAGTGTTCTTTGATACGGTCAATCGTGAAACACGCTTCAGTTATTTGGACTCATTCTCAACATAGTCTATTGAAACCTTAACTTCAATGCGATGGCGTCTTTTGAGATTTATTGCTTTTAAAATGGACCAATCAGAAAAAAATTAACGACTTACTGTCGCCAGTAGTGTTAATTTACAATATTTACAATTAAGTACACAACATAATGATGTCTATATTTGTACAGCTACTGAATAATGAAATGTACAGTTAACTCAAATACTTGATGTCATTTCACGTGCTTTCCTATAATTCAAGTCATTACACCTTATGAACGTTACCTCGCATGTCCAAAACTACAGCTATTTTCAGCTGATACACCTATTTCATTTTAATAGTCTGCGTATAAGTAAAACAGCTCGTTTTATTCTAAATTTGTAAATGAGTTTTCTGATTAATTTAGCACTCGAAATAATGTATTTTTAATATTATTGTATAGTTATCACTATTCTCTGTAATTATCATAATATTACTTAAGTAACTTGCCTTGTACCTAAACTAATTGTATCCATTGGCTCTATGGATATTATACCCAAATAAATAAATACTACAATTTATAATATATTTCTATGTATGAATAAAAAGTGAATTAGATTAAACTTTGAAATATTATTGCGAATTTAAATAAAACCGTTTTTAATACACAAATGACAAAATTAAAAAGCTATTGAAGAAAAAATGCAAGTTCAGGTAATTTTAGTCGCATAAATGCATGTTCATTTCGTTTGTTTTTAATGCTTGAATTTGCGGGTCTCGAGTATTAAGGAAAAGGGTTAATGTAAACAGCTGAAGGTACAAAATCATAAACAATCAATGGTAACAAGGGTTCAAACATAAATTATCGTCGCCACTTATACAACAACAACATTAATAATAATATAAATATATAATCAGGCATACATGTACTACAACCAGGCGGTTCAGTGTAGACAAGACACTAGTTCCCTTGTGAATATTTACACACATTTATAATTTTTTTTTTTTTATTGAGTTTGTTTTTCGTAGGCGTTAAAAAAAATCATTTACCGACTAAAATAATTTACATTATTTGCGCCAACCAAACAAACATGCATTATTTATACCATCTAAATAATATTATGTTTGTTTAAGTGGCGTTAAAATTCTTTTGACCTAAATAAAAAAAAAAAATTCTTATCGAGTTACTCACTCTAATGGGAACTTTTGCCCGGCGGAATATCCCAAAAAGATTAAGTCGGTCCACATTTTTCTTTTTTTTTACCACCGACATTGAAACTCATCTATAATGTATATATGTTCTTTTACCAAGTAAATAAAACAACATCGTGTTGGTTATCATAAAAACATTAGTTAAATTAAATACATAAAATAGAAAATTTGTCGAAAGAAAATTATTGATCTTTGGCACAGACATTGTTATTGTTTTTAAGTAAACGTTGAACGTCAAACGGAAAATAAACAAATTAGCTGTTACTCCCACGTTTCCTGTGTCTTGTTGTTGATAATTTTTTAGTAAACAAAAAATAGGTACTTGTTGATATGCTGTCGATGGGTATTTATAGATTTGTCTAATATTAAACATTGCAATGTAATAATGATCATCACTTTGTTTGGACAACAATGAACAAACAATACTAATACGTTTGAATTGAACTTTCACAATTATTGTGTTTAGTCTCAATCGTGAAATGTTTTGGTGAATTTTACTACAATCCTTACCTTATGATACATGTATATTTTTTTTAATGACTTTAGTATCTTAATACACAATTAAGAGGCCGATTCATCAGTCCGATTCGATCATGTCTTAAATTGAATATTTTAAACAAGACCGTCGAACTGTGCGTGCGACGTTACCTCGGATAATTGTCTACCTATTGTATAAGTAGCATATTAACATAAATCATCAATGAATCGTCTAGACAAATAATTCCCTATTCTCGCCGCCGGTACCTATGTTATACCTCCGCCTAACCGCGCGGTAACTGTGGTAACATTTTTTGTATTCGATTAAAACTAGAAAGTCGCACGAGGAAAACACCGCCGTCGTTATTAATAAAAAAAAAAAAATAATAATAAATATATTAATAAGCAATTGCTAATTAGCAAATATACCTAAACAGATCAGAGAACGGACGGCAGTTAAAAAAAAAAAAGGCGGGAAAACGACCGAAGTCTGGTACACGTGACGACGACGGCAAACCAGGTGCGTTCACTTCGGCCAACGTTTGTACAGGTCATCTTATACACAACAATAATAAAATTATTATTATATTTTTATTAACATGCAAAAAAAAAAAATGATGGCCTTACACAGCCATTAGGCGGTGCGACGAGATTGCGTGGAAATTAATTAATAGGAACAGACACATTTCCGGTTTTGTCGGCACACGTAGTCGTATGTATTATACTAAACGCGTTTTGCGCTAGTACTATGAGAAAAAATAAAAAACCGAAGAAACCTATCCTTTTTGGTAATAAAATTAATAATATTCTGTACAGGTACTAGGTGCATTGTAATTAGTACCCTCGTCTAAAGTGGTAGCCATCATCGTTATGATCGCCGCCCACAAATGAATAACAAAAACGATTGTACAATAACGATAATGTTGCGGCGACCAAAAACGATATTTTAATGTAATATTATAATAACGATTTTCCGTATCTATTTTTAACGCACGTTTAAAATCAAATAAGTAATACCGGTGTGCACTTGCCCGCGGGCTGACAGTCGAGTGGTGCGCAGATAAACGTTAAATTATCATTACAATATTATCGTGTTAATTAATAAATATATTGTTTATCGCAAAAACTCACCTGCGGCCAGACCGCGATTGGCGCCAAAACACAACAGTGATAACAGCACCGCAAAAGCGGCTACCGGAATGTTCATTTTTCTCCGTGTAACGATGATGACGATATTTTTCTCAATAATCCCAATCGGACGGGTAGGCGGGTTTTCTCGTTTTCAAAACGAACGGCGCTTTCCAAAAACAAGAAAAAATCTACTAATACAACGACGCGACGATCGTCATCGATTATTATGTCGAGTGTAATATGAAATATATTTTTAACGGAAAATCGCGATCGTACGACTAAAATTAAAAAAAAAAAAAAACACCGCGAAAGTATGTAATACTAGAGATGCTCAAATAATAATTATTGTAAAAAAAAAACCCGAACCCGCTAAATACCGACGACGGTGGTAAACGCGTTAGGTGGACACGGAGAAAGCGTCGGTGGAAATAATAATAACAATAATAAATAGCAAGAGTATAAATCGACGCCAGCAACACACACGGGACGCGCGCACAACGTCACTGCGCAACGATCGACTAACGACTGGGTGGCTGGACCCTAGCTCGACTCGTGAGCGGATTGTCGCCGACGGCGGCGGCAACGGTGAGTGCGTTACGGTGCGTAACCGCCACGGTGGTAACTGGTAAGTGGTAACCGGTCGGCGGTGGTGGGAGGGTAGAGATCCGCGGCAGTAAAATTGTTTTACCCGTCTTGTGTATATAATATTATAATGTGGATGTACGTATGTATGTATAATACTATATTATGTAACAACTAATATATTATTATAATTGAGTAGGCTAGAATCGAAAATCACATTTTTCAGAAAACCCAAAAAACTGTGAGAGGGTTTTTCCCTAACGACAATGAAAATCTACACTACATTATTTACGAGTTGCTTAGACCGAAAAACTGAAATATTCCATCGAAATGTGCAAGTTTAGTCGATAAATGTATGCATACATTTTTTTTAGAATCCAGTTTGGAACGTGTGAGTTTTGACTAGTGATGGGAATCCGGATTTAAGCCACTTAAAATTCTTGGAAATAATACATTTTATTACGATGAAAAGCTGTGTACTTAAGTAAAACGTTTCAATGAAAATTAAAAAAAAAAACGCTTAACTTTGACTAGAAATTACTTTCGGATTTCAAATCATAAAAAGTAGGTATTTATTTAAAGTTAAAATTTGTTATTATATTATTAAACAAAATAATACCCCCAAAAAAATGTTCATTGCCAACCACGGTAAAATGTTATTGTTCATTTATATCATATCAGATGACTTTCAAACAACTGAAAAGAGTTTATCATAATAATTTAGATGAAGAAGTGTAAAAAATAACAATTCCGTCAACGACCTTTGATTATCGAAGCCATTATTCGGGTTAAAAATAATTCACTATCAAAACTCACATGTTCCAGTGGAACCTGTTCAAGGATACGCATATACACATGTTCTAAGATGTTTTCAAAAAATCTAATAACACATTCGGATTTAGCGTCAAAAATCCTAAAAGGCAGTGGTGCTAAATCATTTTCTAATTTTTTTTTTTTTTTTGGATCATGTGTGTTTTCATTCTAACCTGCTCAATATATTTATCAATCTAATTTAAAATTTGAAAACGTTTAATTTTATGACCCGCGAACATTAATATTTTGTAAGAGAACCGTTATAGTAGTAACTAGTATGAGATTTCAAGCAAGGTCGTTAAATCGTTTCGCATAAAGTCCAACTGTAGTGTAGTGTTGTCATAGGCGCCTTTCTTTCTGATATGTCTAGTTTTTTTTTATCGTATACAAAGATTAATTTTTGTGGTAGTTCTAGTGTGTATGTTTTAAAAATGTTATCATTTAAAGGAAATAAAGGAGCAAAAGGAAATAATTAAAAAAATATTTTTCACGTAGGTACCCATGTGATCAATGACTCCTTTAGTGTCTCTAATTACTGGTCAATGGATTATATTCGTTATCGCTTGGGCCACGATAAGGAATATAATAATAATATGTAAATGCAGTTTACTGTTTACTGCGGTTCCTAGAACGTTGAAACCATAATATTACAGGTACAGAGGAAGAGTTGTGAAAAAAAAAATTAAATTAAGATAAAAAGTACACTGGAATAAACAACAGTGCAAACACATAAGTACAGTTTTGTTTTTATCTAAACTCAACATGAAAAGGCGTACATTTATTAATAATACGCATAGGTATATTATGCTGGAACGGTTGTGTCTTGGCTGTTATCTGAAATTGCATAACATTATAATTATTATGTTGTGGAAAGTTGTAACCAAAGGTGATGCAATTTACAATTTTTCGTCGTCAAAACTTATTGTGATAACTTACCAGTAACAACAAAGCAAAACAAGAAGTTGGGGCAGATCTTGGGTTGTATAGATTGTAACCCTCTCTTAAAAATTAAAATCAAATATTTTTAAGTACTATTTTAATAAAATATAGACGGTTATTATGTTATATACCTCGTGTAAAAAAATACTATGACATTTTTAATGATAAAATTCAATTTAAAAAAAAGTAAAGACTGTTTTTAATTCGCTGTATTTTTCATGTTAATTAATAGTATTAATGTAATTTAGCCGCACTTTTTGCCTTAAACATTTTACCTTGTACATACTTTATAGGTAAACATATACGGAAAAGGTATATTATCTTATTTCAATCAGTAATCACGTCCGTTCATAATTATTGTTAACAAGTCGGTAATTATTATATTATTCGAATAACAAGCGGCTAACCATACAAATTACAAACTAGCAAACACTTCTGCTATGCACTGTCTTTCGATACCAATATATTTTATAGATGTAATATACAATGTTTTTTATTACCGAGTTCCCTCTTAGTTTCACAGAAATAGTTTTTTATCTAAACATATATTTTTCAACTACATTAATTTATTTCCAGTTTTAAAACGATTTTTTCTAAAAATAATTATTTTACTATATTACTGCTATAATGTACGATTATATTAGTTATTGTATTTTCTATTAATTTTTGTTATATTCAGAGTTTGTCAGTTGGGGCAATGACCGATTGAAAAATAGTTGATTATTTAAAATATACCACCAATAATATTATTAACACAATAATTTGTTTTGTAATTTTAAAATTTCCCCGTTTAAGTTGGGTTATCTATTATTATTATTATTAAAAAAACACTAACAAATGTCACAATAATTTTACATTGAATTTTTGGCAAAAAGTCAAATAATACAAATTGTGTTTTAGTAGTAGTTTCAGTTGTGTGCTGTTTATTATACATTTAATTAGCTACACACAAATTAAAAGCTGAATATCTATTTTGTTTTGTACACACATCTCCTGTGCTATTATCAAGGATATATTCAGACTTCATTTGTACACTACAGAGGTAAGTCGTCCATAAAAATATACAAACAATACCCAAAAATGGAAGTACTCAAATTGAAAACTTTTATTTTCGTATTCATTAAACCTTGATGATATTTTTCATTTTTGGCATCTTTTATAGTTTGCGCTGATGAACTGTCATGTATATATAGATTAAAATTAAACAAGCTCGACATTGTGCGCACCTGTCTGTAAGTCTAAAGTCAATATATATATTTTTTTTTATTATAACTTAGGTCTGAATGTATAAATTTGTTGAGTTTAAATTTAAAAAAAATATATATTATCAATAAAAATCATTAATATTTCATCAAAGGCTGTGTAATTCGCAGTATTGTTAATTAGACATGGAATCGTTTCGACGACGGTTGTTTGACTTGAACCTAAATTAAATTATTATTTGCAAGCAGCGATGGCTTTTGATCTCCGCAAAACGTTGCCAACTTCTTGGAAATGTACGCCTTTAAGTAAAGTAAATAAAACGGCCACGGTATTTTGTTTCGGTCAAAAAAAAAAATAATACCGTTTGAAAGCAAACAGTGAACTCATTGTTTAAATTAATACAACTCTCGAAATGGAGTTTTCGCGAGGGTGTAAAATATTTTTTTCTGAAAAATTTTTCCACCAACGCTTTTTATTTGTGAACATTTTATTTTTGCTGTTATTATTCGGTTTAACAATAATTCCAACAATATTTTATCGCGTCAACACGAGTTTTTCAAAAAAGTGAGTGTAAAAAGTAGCCCAATAATGAAAGTTTACCAAACCTTTATAAGAAAAAGCCCTAAAGGTATATTCCGCCACATGGAGCGTTGCTGAATAAATTGTATTGTACTTGTTACAAAACAATATGCGACACCGGCTGACCTGTCATATAATCGCATGTATTAAAAAATTGAATTGTGATTCGCGTAACAGCATCAAACAAAAATAAACATGTTGTCCAATCATTTTTTACCAGATGTAATACATAGGCGCTGTGATGTTACCCAACTGATGATATTGTTGTTGTATTAACAAATACAGATATGAGAAACACCATGCTGTCACGTTCGTATGATGGGTGTGTGTGTATTTATATCTTTGTACAGTATAGTGTAAATTATTTTTTATAATTAGTCAAAATCTACTTCCTATTATGTGCAATCGCGTGTGTGAACTATTGCTAACGCTTATGCACGATGTCAAAACGTCTATGGCAAAAAATAAATTTTTGATCAAACTCCAAAAAGTATATTTACTTACCGAACGGGTAAAAAAACACACATACACAGTGTTTAGCAACAATTTTTTTTTTCAACCATCAAACGTTATTGACGTCAAACTTGACCATGTACGGTTGTTACTACCACATCCATGTTATAAAATATATAAATATTATTAGCCGTTTTTGATAGAAAAATTACATTATAATTAGGTCGATATTAGCTGGCTGGCTGCTTGACTTCAAAAATCCGTCAGAACTTTTGGGTGGAAAATAGGTGGCCACGCTTACAATAAAGTCGCAGAGATGAACTTGAAAAAAAAAAACCATACACTTAACTCACTAATGGATTTTTTCGTTTGGCCGTATCAGTATTTCATAAACCGCGCAGTGACAAATCATCGATTCGAGCCAAGTAGATTTTGGGCGTCGTCCAAAATGGCTGTTTCGATCCGTGGCTGACGGTTTTCATGTACCTCATTTGGTTTTTTAAAAATTAATCGACTTCAAAATGAAGTTTATACAAACCCTACAAACCGTCAGGATTTTATGATTTGAAAAAAAAATAAAAAAATATTTACTACGAGTAAGACAGTAAAAACGGCTGTTATTCTATATTGATTCAATATTAAGATTTACTAATACTAACACTTTAGATGTAAAAGACCAAAATGATTTAGAACATTTTGAATTAATCAATTCATTTTAATAGATTTTTCCCGTTTGGTATATTTTAAACATATTTCTTTCATCTATGTATTGGTATATAAACAATAGCATGTATTGTTTTTTTTAAATCTGAATTTTAAAAGTCCCAACCTTAGTATGGACTATAAGAAAGAAAACAATCAACAAAATCAGGACTTTAAAATAAATAAAAGTGAAACTATTTTCTAAGTGTTTTACAATATCCTTAGTATATGATATGATATATTAATACGTAGACATATATTTAAAT